ATTGCCATTTTATCGTTTGGCAACAACTCTTCTGTAGCCCTATGGCCAGCTTCACACATTGTATATTTAGTGTCATTTTCAGTGCAATCTTTTTTTAGCCTCAACACTTCTCTGAATCATTTGATCAGCATCATTTCCATCACCCCCAGAAGAAATGATTGGCTCAACATGACATTGACTGACTTGTGAGTGAAGCTGCACTGAATATATAAGGAGAAAATTGCATAATGGATAATCTCAGAATCTTTAAGGGTGGAATGCTGCACTTTTCATTTTGTTTGACCTTTTCTCACCAATTCCAGAATCTCATAGGATACTGGTGGGTAGCTGAAGAATATCTGGAGCTCACTTCCATTTGAAGGCACAACAACTAAAGTTTCTAACACCTGAAATTGGAAATACCTTGCCTCTCTGCTCTTGGACAAGTTAGCACACATTGCTTATGCATAATATATGTTAATACTAGAGATGGACAATCTTCCCCACACTTGTTTTGGATTAACTCAGAAATTACCTGAGATCTTTCGCAGATCTTACAGGAAAAGAATAGGAAAATGTCAAATCATTTTCTGTGTCAACCCAAGGGCTCTGAAAAATGTCCTCACTTGTCCTTGCCAACTCTTCTCCGCCAGCCTCCATCCCACTTCCCCACATGTCCCCTTCACTTAACTGCAACTGCAGCAGCTCTTGCTATTTCACCCATGTTTCCCTGGACTTTGAGCCCAGGGTGACAGAGTAAAAGGGGGGAAGAGGAAAAGCTCCTTCCTTTCCTCACCTTGTTCACCACCAGAGCTGTTTCTAGCACCATTGCTTGCAAAATAAGGCAAGGGGAGGGAATATGTTTAGGTGATGGGCAAGAAGAACTTTGGGAGATTGCAAATCCTGGTGACCTGATGCAGATCAACAGGAGCCAAGCCAGAAATTATTTGCCTGGCTTGGATTTTAACAGAAGCCTGATAATAATTTTGTACTTTCCAAAGCTTGTTTCTTCTTTGAGGCTATATTTGCTAGTTCCCAGAGTTTGTTTCTGACCTTCAGATCAGAAAACATAACCAGTATCCCTAGTTAATATTTTTATAAATATTGTCAAAGCAGACCTAGTGTCTTGGCCACTAGTCCAAATTCGTGTTAGCTATTTGCTCTTTTATCACCACTGATCTTGTCTATACCTGACTGCAATGGTAAAAAGGAAGGCAAAAGAGGTTTTGTATTGCAGGAAGATTCCACCACTCCCCCCATTTGCTGATTTGTTTCTCAAAATGCCCTGAAGCACAGAAAAATGACATGATAATGCAGCCAAATTAGCAATCTGGGAGCAGGATGTACCTGGCGTGGCAGGCCGCAGGATATGGGAACATGTACCATTTGCAAGTCAGCACAGAGATACTTCACAATGCAGCTGACATTGCAGCATAAAAATGTAACTCCATTTATTTGGATTTATATGTTATGACTAGAAGACTGGTACAAAGAGTTGAAAGACTAAGGAAGATGCTAGGCAATACTTAATCTTAGTTGTTTGGCTGTTTCTTACACTACAGTTTCGGACTTGAATTTTTGGATTTGAAATGACTTGGCTTCCCATACCTCAGTAATTTAGTTGATCACACTGAGATGGGCGCATTTTTATAAATCACAATTTCATTCCCCCTTTTTCATCCAAATACATATAAATAGTTTGAAAGGACCCGAGACTCTGTTTGCATGTATCTGGAAGGAAACATGGTACTTTATCCAAAGAACTTGATGGTTTATACAGCACTCAAGATTTGGGAGGCCAGGTACAAAACTCATAAAATGGTGGTGTGCTATGAGACATTCTCTGCCATGAGTTGCAAATGAATGGAATAGTTAAGAACAGAATAGGCAACTGTCAGTTATTTTTTTGAATTGATCAGGGCTGACCCCCAGGCAGCAGGTCCTGGGCCCCCTAGTTGTTTCTCCCAAACTCCTAGCCATTTCCCTGTGCAGAAGGAAAATGTTGTGTATGCTGCTCTGTCCTCCCTAATATATCCTGCTCAACAAGTGCAAATGAAGATGTTACTCTGTTTCCAGAGGTAAAATATGATCCAGCTGCCACTTCAGGCAGAATCTGTACATACAACAGGAAGGAAGACTGTGTATATCTCTTCATTGAGATAGTACAGAAAGGAAGGTTTGGGGAAACTGTTCAAACTGTAAAATTAGGGTGTTCCCCCCCCTTAATTTTTCCAAACCTGTTTAACTTGTTGCTGTACTGAATCATTAAGTAAAAGCACAATCTGATTTGGAAAAATTTGTGCTGAAGGCTTGTTATTCATCCCATGCCTAAGCACCATCCCATTCTACACATTATTGGGAGTAGGCTTGGCCATTAATGTCCAGAAAGTTAAACAGTTGCTTAGTGAAGGTAGTACCACTTGATGGTAGTGGTAAAAAGAAGGAAGAGGGTTTTTGTGTTTTTTCCTGGTTTGCTTTGCCTACTTTCCTTCTCCCAGAGGATGCTATATGTACACTGCCACAGCCAATTCTCGAGTTTATGTTGAAGCTACACCTACACAGAGAAAAATATAGTCACAAAGGTTACTATATTTGTGTGTGTTTTTTATTATGTAAGCAACACAGGGTCTCTGTTCCATGCACGAGGGGGTGAGGTATGAGCAGTGGTACAGAAAGGCAGCCTGTTGAATGCCTTCACTACACTGAACTGTCAGTGTCTCAACAAATCAATAAGAGAACATGGAACAGGATTACCACTTGTCCAGGTGAATTACTGCAATCTATCTTCACATTTTCATTCTGTCATAAAGAGTAAAGGAAGAAACAAATTCTTAAGGCAATCACTGTCTGCTTTTTTGTGAGACTGATTCTATAGTCTGTGCCCTACATTACCTCAGCTCCCCTTGGTAAAAGCTGTTGAAAGGCAAATTACAAAATTAAAACCTTTCCTGTCTTCTAATATATTGGGGCATGACCTGCCCACCACAGACACATATACATCAGCATAGTTTTAAGCAGAACCCTCATCTTTCCTAATCTTATGCCAGACCTTGTCATATATATATATATATATATATATATATATATATATATGTAGTCTGTATATCCAGTCCTCGTTTTATTTCCCCCAATGTCCCAATTGTTTTGTGACATGTGAGGGAGCAAAATGGCTCAACAGACCACTGAAAGGCATACACAGTCATGCACATAGCATGCACTGTAGGTAATGCCCAATGTACATGTGCTGTATATTTAACTGTCCTCTGGGGGAGAGGCTGGGGAATGATTTCATTGAACTCTACAACGACCTCCTCACACTTAAAAGCTGCATTCATGAGAGACTGGTGGTAGCCTCATTTTTAATGGTATTTTACTTTACGATAACATAGATTACCGTATTTTTCGCTCTATAAGACGCACCAGACCACAAGGCGCACCTAGTTTTTGGAGGAGGAAAACAAGAAAAAAAATATTCTGAATCTCAGAAGCCAGAACAGCAAGAGAGATCACTGCACAGTGAAAGCAGCAATCCCTCTTGCTGTTCTGGCTTCTGTGATAGCTGCGCAGCCTGCATTCGCTCCATAAGACGCACACACATTTCCCCTTACTTTTTAGGAGAGAAAAAGTGAGTCTTATAGAGCAAAAAATACGGTAATTCCTAAAGACACACAGTTCACAGAAGTAGCTCAGGTCTGCAGCTATATGATTTCTTGAGTTCACCCCTTGTCACACACAGGAGCCCGCTCCTAGTGGCTAAGATAGGGGGCCCAATAAAATATTTCACACCTACCCACACCCAAATTGATGGGCACTGCCATTCAAATGGTGTGTGTGTACCGCGTCTTGTGATTGATTATTCAGGGCAGGGTTTACATGCCTCCTCTATGTTTTATTCAAGTTGGCACCCATGTTCTACCAGCATGGTAGTGAGCTCCAGAAATATTGAATACTGTTTAGAGCCACCCCAATCTCTGCCAAGTGGAGCACAAGATTCCAGGGGGACTTGGCACTCAACCAGGCTCTGTCTTCCTTTGGGGAATATGAGGCAGGCTGTTGTCACTCAGCAAAGACAGAGAAGCAGAGCCATTAAAAAGGTTGCAAACCTAATATCCATAGTAAAATAGCATATTTAAAATCGCATGGTATTTTATGGAAAGGTATGGTTGTTTTTGGAAGAACTTGGTCCTAAAATGCCTCTTCCATGGGAGATACCGAGATTTTAAAAAAAGAAGAAGAAGGAAAGAACTGCTTTGAAGTGTTTTCTAACTATCCCAGATGCCCTAGAAAGGCATAAGGTAGCTTGGAGCAACCGAGGGTTTCACTGTTCATTTGGCAGCTATCACAATGGCTTTGGGTAACTATTAGAGAAGGATTGCAAGATAGCCCAGAGTGAGAGGTCATAGTAAAAAGACAATAGCATTGCAAGGCTAACAAGAGACAGTTTCATTTCAAATAAAGGGCATGCCTGCCTCTTTGAGGGAGATCCCTTTGCCCTAACACCTCACCATAATGAGAGTATGAAACATATCTTTGAAACCCTCCAGAGACCTATTGTGACCTATTGTGAGAAAATAATCTTAAAATCCATTTTCTCCTCTTCCTTCTCCAGTACTGGAGCCTGTTCCATTAGGACAACTAGAACACTGCCCTGCCACATGGAATTTGAAGGGGGGCAGGTGGGCAAATTAAAGAAAAATCAGAAAACTATTTTCTGTTTCTTCCACTCTCTTTAGCATTTGAACTTGTGAAGCCATTTTGGTCAATCTTCCATTAGCTGGCTAATCAGCTCTTTGTACTGCTTAGCCAATTGCAATCCAAAACTGCTACTGTTGCATGGATATCCTGCCCAATCATCTCTAGGCAGAAAAATGCATTCACTTAATAACTGGTAGGGTGCCCCAGCCACTTTTCCCCATTTTTCATCTTCATTTGCATCGTTGAAGGCAATCCACCAATCAGGGCATGTGAATTAGCATGAAGCGCATACACACTTACCAAAGGAGATTTGAGCATTGACATTTTCACCCAACATGGGGCTTGAACCCATGAGCCTGAGATTAGGTGTCTCATGTTTTGCCAACTGAGCTATTAAGCCAAATCAGAATCATTCCTCAATTTTTAACATATCCAGTGCTGGTTATAGAACAATTTACTGAGCTGCACAGCAGACCATGTTATTGTTGAGATCTCTGACTGGGTGCTTGCTATGTTGCTCCCTGAATAAGCAGGTTTCTCCTCATGCTATTATGGATTTGACCAGTGAGGGATCTTTGGTGTGTGTCTGTGTGCAAGAGTGCAGAGCACTGGTGGACAAAGAAAGAGTGATTTTCTGTTTTAGTTTATGTTACCATTGCATTGTATTTTGGGAATTAAGCTTGAAAGAGGGAGGAATAAATGGCTGAAGGGTACCTATGCCTCCTTGATGAAATAGCTTTCTGTGCTTGTTTGCTGCTGTTGCCTTTTGCTGCGGTTGGGGGCTCTGATGAGCCCATTCTTGATTGAAAACAGTTTTTTAAAAAAATAATAATAATGGTGATTATATTTGGAGAGGAGTCTGTTTCAGCTGCTCCTGAGCTCTTGTATTTTCAAATGCATAATGTTTATTATTTTTATTTGTGATACTTTGGGAGATGGACACGGTATTTTTTTTGTCCATATAGGCAAAAATTATTCAAAAGCAAACTTGGAAACTTTCCACAAGTATACAGCAATAAAGGACTATTACAGTCCAAACCTAAGCATTCTTACTCAAAAGTCAGGCCTATTGCGTCTATGAGGGCTAAATCTGAAGAAAATGCACATAGGATTGCAGCCTTGGCTACTGTAGTCCAAAGGCATATATTTAACTTTCTTTTCTCATAAAATACATTAAAAATAGTCTTGTCAAAACTGCATTGCCCTCCCACAACTGCAATAAAGTCTGTGTGAGTACCCTGGAGTTGTCTGGACAAATCACTTAACCTCTCAGATCTTGTAAGTTGTATAAGATACTGCATGTAATCCTCCTGCTGTTCCTCTGTCATGACAGATTTGAGAAGACTTAAAAGCTATTGAAAACTTTTGTGATTCATGGAAAGCCCATTGTACTGGAATACCAAGTTCCTGAAAGCAGCACAAGCAATTCTTCAGAGCTAACATGAAATCCCTGTTGAATTTTTATAGGAAAATCTATAAAAATGATCAAATTTAATTGAAAAATTTTCATCTTAGCATAATGTAACTTTGTAATATAAGCTACTAAAACATACTGTCTTGGCATGCCACCAAAAATCACATAGGCAGTTGAACCTACTTTAAAAAGTTATGTCTCTTTCATTGGAAAGGAACATTGCATAAGCTCAGAAAGCTCAGAGAGCCAGTGTGGTGTAGTGGTTAAGAGTGGTAGTCTCGTAATCTGGGGAACCGGGTTCGCGTCTCCGCTCCTCCACATGCAGCTGCTGGGTGACCTTGGGCCAGTCACACTTCTTTGAAGTCTCTCAGCCCCACTCACCTCACAGAATGTTTGTTGTGGGGGAGGAAGGGAAAGGAGAATGTTACCTGCTTTGAGACTCCTTAAAGGGAGTGAAAGGCGGGATATCAAATCCAAACTCTTCTTCCAAACTCTTCTTCAGAAAGATTGACATTGATGTTCTAGAATCTAGAAGAAGGGTAGCCACTGGTTCTTCAGATTCTGTGGACTACAATGTCCACCATTACCATTGGTCTTGCTGGCTGGGGTAGATGTTCATTGGAGTCCACAACATCTGGAGGGCACCGTGTTGGCCACCTCTGTTCATCAATGTATAAATACAAAAACTGGCAAGTAGAGCATTCACCTGTAGAACTGGCACAGAATTACTATGCCTGTGTGACTGATGTATGCTATCAAATCTCAGCATTTATGTATCCTTCCACAATGCATATGCCTGCACTGTACAACTGGGAAACCACCCCAAACCAGTTGTTCTCGACATTATGTAAGTCGCTTGTAAATATCCTGTGTTATCACAGCCACAAACAGTGACTACACTTATGTCATGAATGATGACAGGAATTAACCCTGGAAGTCTGACCTTGATATATGTGCCCCCATTCAACCCATTTCCCCAAATAGTCTGGTCTTTTGGAATGATGAGGTCCTCACTGTGGTTTTATAGCTTCACGGACATTTAAAGTTGGTCCCAGTTCCTTCAGGGACCTGTCCAAATCAGGCCAGCTAGATTTACGTTACACTAATCAACACTTCATGGGATGTGGGTGGCGCTGTGGGTTAAACCACAGAGCCTAGGACTTGCCGATCAGAAGGTCGGTGGTTCGAATCCCCACGATGGGGTGAGCTCCCGTTGCTCAGTCCCTGCTCCTGCCAACCTAGCAGTTCGAAAGCACGTCCAAGTGCAAGTAGATAAATAGGTACCGCTCCAGTGGGAAGGTAAACGGCGTTTCCGTGCGCTGTTCTGGTTCGCCAGAAGCGGCTTAGTCAAGCTGGCCACATGACCCGGAAGCTGTACGCCGGCTCCCGCGGCCAATAAAGCGAGATGAGTGCCGCAACCGCAGAGTCGGCCACGACTGGACCTAATGGTCAGGGGTCCCTTTACCTTTAACCAACACCTTGGCTAAATCTCAAAACCAATTTTCACTTTCATAGTGATATACATGTACAAATGCAACAACAGCAACATAAGTCCACATAGGATCCAACAAAGCGATTAAAAAAATTATATGTAAGGGTCTACATGCACCAGATTTTAATGACATGATCTGCAATCATTTTATGGGTTTTTAAAAATTAAATACCAGGGACACACAAATATACTTAAGAACACAGTGCATACAGAGTAGGGCCAGCCCAATACATTTTGCCACCTGTGGAGAAGTACAGAATGATGCCCTACCACTCACTCCTACTAAAAACAGGGTTTATGTCATATGGGAAGAAAACAAGCAGGATCCTGCTGTGCATACATTTACTCAGCTTATTTATTTGCAGTTTAGGAGAATGTGTCCCCCTGAACCCATAGCCAAAAATGTCCTCTTGATTTACATATGGGGAGATCATAAATGATATTGTGGCTTGGGAGGGGAAGTTTAAGCCTCTCCTTTCATACACACTGCATTCTTGAGAATAATTATCCTCTCTTCTTCCTGCACCCGGTATTTAATATTTAAAAACATACACCATGCTTGTTAATCACACCATTAATGTCACATGTAGCTAATCCCTAATGGAACAATCATACTAGAATCAGCAGCAAAGGTCACAAAATGCCTGGCAGAGTAAATAAGCCTTCACTTGCCTCCTGGAGTTCTACGAAGATGAGAGGAGGGGAGATTAGGCCGAAAGTCAGTCAATGATTTCTCCAAGGATACCCACTGAGCAAGGATACACTGGTGAACTTCAGGGCACAGCAGACTTCTGAATCAGATTTATTATTTTTTTCATTCAAACAAACATATTAGCCACTGGACCACAGAGTTCATAAATTGAACCTAACATCAAAGGAAATATAATCCAGTTCACACAGATAAATGAGCTTATGTTGCACTGTTATGTTGGATGGTACCCAAAACACTTAGGTAAAGAAAGACAAATTAATGGCTCAGTTTATCAAAGGGGTCTGCCCTTGTGCCAGCTTTCCAACAGGTTTCAGGAGTTGCTGCTTGCAGAGTGCAAACCAGATAACTAGTGGCAATCAATGCCTGTTGCCGGGAACCTTTATGCTCAGATATCCATTATAATGCACAAAGAAAGCTACTGTGCTTTCCAAAGGAGTTCCTGCTCAGAATTTTCTCTTCGCCATGGCTCATGATGAGCTTTTACAGTCCACTCAGAAGTAATTCCCATTGAGTTTGATGCAGTTTACTCCCAAGTAAATGGGTTTTGGATTGGTGGTTTAAAGTATGGCAATAATTGCAATATGCTTACAGACCTCAGTGATGTTTTAAAAGAAACGCTACAGAAGGCTTCTCCATCCCTTCCTTTAAAAAGGGAACAACCATATGACAACATCAAAGGAGAAATAGAATACTTTTTAGAGTTTTGTGATGGTATTTTGGTATTTTTAAAGATAAAACCTTACATGCACAGGACTATATCCAACACTGCAGGAGCAGAAGATAAGCTCATTCTCTTACCTGCAACCCCTGAAAAGTCTCTCCAGAGATAGTCCACATACCCTCCAACATTTCTCCAATGAAAATAGGGGTGTCCTATTTAATAATAGTAATCACAATAATACTAATATTAATACTACTACTGCTGCTGCTAATAAATTATTTTATTATTTATACCCCACCCATCTGACTGGGATATTCCAGTCATTCTGGGCAGTTTCCAACATATATTAAAAACATTAAACATTTTAAAAACTTCCCTATTTAGGGCTGGCTTCAGATGTCTTCTGAAGGTTGTATAGTTACTTATTTCCTTGGCTCAGGGGTCACATAACTCCATCCCCTCCAACATTTCTCTGATTAAAATAGGGACATCCTAAGGAAAAGTGGGACATTCCAGGATCAAATTAGAAACTGGACAGCTTCTGTAAATCTGAGACTGTCCCTGGAAAATAGGGTCACTTGGAGGGCCTGTGTCCTATCATATATGTTGTGGTCTGTGTTGTCCAGGGCTGCAGTGGAAGGAGGGAACTGCCTGAAATCAGGTGAATGGCTCTTTTGCTCCACTGGTGCAAGATGCCTCCACCCAACTTTGCGGGAGTGGAAGAGAAAGATCTATTGTGCAAGCTGCCTTTTGCTCATGCAACACAGAATACCTCCCATGGCTTAAGAGTCCCTCCTGCAACACCACCTCCAGGGCCAGGGCTGTCTTAAGCATATGCGGCGCCAGGGTGCAAAGATCCACCCAGACCCCCCCCCAGGTTGCCCAGTCCCAGGTGTGCAGGAGGGCGGAGCCGGCTGGTCACCTCTGTGTCTCGCTGGCTTGGTTGCCCCCGAACTCGCGGTGCAGAGCCGCCCACAGCAGAAGAGCCTGTCACAGCGCTCTGACCGATGGGTGGGCTCTTCCCTGGACTCAACTCTCAGGCCTTGGACTCTCGGCCTGGAGCCCCTGAGAGCCTGGTGCCCAGGTGCCCTGCACCCGTAGCGCCTATGGGTAAGATGGCC